TCCACGTCGTTCTTTTATTTTTAAGCAGTTATGAGGCATGGTGGTAAAACACGAAACTGCGATGTTGCATGTTACTTGCCAACTTATCAAAGAGTGAGTGAGCTGATGCCACTATCCTTGCTTAGCTTGGCCATGAGAGGTCAAGCAGCCAAAGCCTTTCCTCTGCCTACATCTCCCTGAATGCTGTGCATTTGTGGATTAGAGTTCAATGAAATTGTCAACATTTCATCGAACGTTTCGATATTCATCATGTGTATATTGCGATATTTATCATTGTTTTATCGCTCGGTACCAAAGACTGCTTACACCTTTCATTTGTACCAAAGAAGTTGATTTCAATATTTAAAAAGGAAAAACCAAAGAATGACGGTTCACCAGGATTTATTAGCACAATTCAGAACCAACCTGGACTAACACCAAATATAATTTGGGTAACAGGGTGGCTCATCTCTTTTGTACATTTTTCTGAACACATTTTACACAACGGGAATCATATTCATGAACGGAGGAATAGTTTTGCATATAATTTTTCCCCTCATGCTTTCTGGGTCAGATTGACCAAACAGAAAATATCTTCATGAATTCATTTTTTCTCCGGTCCCTGTGACATGTAAAATTTCAAACTTTACTTCTCGACAAACATGTCCTAGATGGTTTTCTTGCTTTTGGAAAATGGTTTTGGGAGGGAAACATTTGTTACATTAGTTGTTTTTTAGAAGTAATTATTGAGTTTTTAATCATAGAGTTTAATGGGGAATAAAAAGAAAAAAATTTCCCGATTAAAATAAACATTGCTCATCACAATTCTTGGCAGCTCTGCTCATCTACCTTCTCTCAAAACATTAGCAGCATATCATCAGTGTGGCACAGCATTGTTATAATTACAATTTCTCCTCATCTTTTGCTTCCAGCCCTCGAGGGGCTCCATATGTTGTCATGTTGGACACTCCTCACTTCACTCCTCTCATTTCCTCTCCTGTTTCTCTGCTCTTGTGCCAAATGGTTTGATGCAATGAATATTGTCTGCTTCTCACTCATCGACTGTTAGTTTTCTTCTTCTTTTCCTAATTTCCTTCTTTACGGCTTGGTGCAACAGAAGTGATATTTAGATTCATGCAGTACCTGTCAAAAAATCAGTAGTTGACTAATGTTGGTACTAGAACAGAGTGTGTCTGTGGGGGAGGATTTTTTTTTTTATTGCGCTCATATTTATCCAGTAACTACAAAGAGTGGCCTTTACTTTTTGTTTTAAGAAGGTATGATAAATATTTCCATTTTAAGTTTTTAATATTTTTAAGACCACATAAGCTTGTTTAGTACATACTTAGCCTGACCCGCATGAATCAACAAAACTGTTTTGCACTACAAGACCTTGCCCAGCCTGCATTCAGACCCAGGTTCAGTGTGTTTTCATAAGCCCTTATAGATCGGTTATACCCTGATTTTTTTTTTGAACCCTGAAATTTGTGGTTCTAATTGACCTGATCTGCCTAGTCTGATTTGACATCAGCTACTCTTGCCCATTGATTTGTTCTCTGACCAAATGAGATATATTAATGTGAACCATTTCCAACAACTGTTTTTTTTTCAAACAAATTTAACTAAACCGCTGTAGCAAGCTACCAAACAAGCTAACATTAGCAACCATTAGCTTAATGTTCTGTCAACTTGCCCACTTGTCATTAGCGTCATATTACTGGATGGTCCTGTACAGCCTTCAGTACTTTTCCTTCGGATTTGGTGTAGTCTGCTTTTGTTTGTGTCGCAAATGAAACTAAGTTTATACATTTGTAATGTTATGATCCCCGCCCACATCAAGGTGGCTCTCTGCTCAATTTAAATACAGCCAGGGCCAGGGTAGAATAAGGGCAGGTTGATTGTGACCAAGTCTTATAATGCTGACATGCCCAAAGAAAAGCAAGAGCCATTTTCTATTTTTTTTTACATGGAAGGAATGGGACTCAAAACTTGGACCAGAATCAGCGGGTTGATCCTGGGTTTCTTGACTGAGATCTAGATGTATGCAATCTATGGGTCAGCTCTAGAGGCAGGATTGCTTTCCTAAGATGGGTTAAAATGAAGAATTTGTAAACAAAATGAAACAAAACTGGTTAAAGATAAGTCAACGTTTTCTTGTTGTTCTACGACATTTTCATGTCTAAAATAAAAAGAAAATGGTGCTTGAGTGCACTTGTAGCATCGATGCTGAATGGATTCTTAGGACTTCAGATTTCCTTGTCTAATCAGCGATTTCATTAAATTTCCCTTAATTCAAGATGCTTCATTTCTTGAACTTAACTGAACATTAATTGATGCCATGCCAAACCTTGATATACAGTGGTTTGCAAAAGTATTCATACCCCTTGAACTTTTCCATATTTTGTCACATTACAACCACAAACATAAATATATTTCACTGGAATTTAATGTGAAAGACCAACACAAAGTGGTATACAATTGTGAAGTGGAAGCAAAATTTTACATGAATCAAAACATTTTTTACAAATAAAAAACTGAAAAGTGCGATGTGCAAAATTATTCAGCCCCCCTGAGTCAATACTTTGTGGAGCCACCTTTTGCTGCAATTACAGCTGCAAGTCTTTTAGGGTATGTCTCCACCAGCTTTGCACATCTAGTGACTGCAATTCTTGCCCATTCCTCCTTGCAAAACAGCTCAAGCTCAGTCAGATTGGATGGAGAGCGTTTGTGAACAGCAGTTTTGAGATCTTGCCACAAATTCTCAATTGGGTTTAGGTCTGGACTTTGACTGGGCCATTCTAACACATGAATATTCTTTTTTTTAAAACACTCCGTTGTAGCTTTGGCTTTATGTTTAGGGTCGTTGTCCTGCTGGAAGGTGAACCTCCGCCCCAGTCTCAAATCTTTTGCTGACTCCAACAGGTTTTCTTCCAAGATTGCCCTGTATTTGGCTCCATCCACCTTCCCATCAACTTTGACCAACTTCCCGGTCCCTGCTGAAGAGAAGCACCCCCAGAGCATGATGCTGCCACCACCATATTTGACAGTGGGGATGGTGTTTTCAGAGTGATGTGCAGTGTTCTTTCTCCGCCACACATAGCGTTTTGCATTGTGGCCAAAAAGTTCAATTTTGGTCTCGTCTGACCAAAGCACCTTCTTCCACATGTTTGCTGTGTCCTCAACATGGCTTCTGGCAAACTGCAAACGGGACTTCTTATGGTTTTCTTTTAACAATGGCTTTCTCCTTGCCACTCTTCCATAAAGACCACATTTGTGTAGTGCACGACTAATTGTTGTCCTGTGGACAGTTTCCCCCACCTGAGCTGTGGCTCTCTGCATTTCATCCAGAGTCACCATGGGCCTCTTGGCTGCCTCTCTGATCAGTGATCTCCTTGTTCGGCCTGTAAGTTTAGGTGGACGGCCTTGTCTTGGCAGGTTTACTGTGGTGCCATACTCTTTCCATTTCCGGATGATGGATTGAACAGTGCTCCGTGAGATGTTCAAAGCTTGGGAAATCTTTTTATAACCTAAGCCTGCTTTAAACTTCTCCAAAACCATATTCCTAACCTGTCTGGTGTGTTCTTTGGACTTCATGATGCTGTTTGCTCCCCAATATTCTCTTAACCAACATCTGAGGCCGTCACGGAGCAGCTGTATTTGTACTGAGATTAGATTACACACAGGTGGACCCTTTTGAGTCATTAGCAGTCATCAGGCAACTTCTGAATGCAATTGGTTGCACTCGGGGAAAAGGGGGCTGAATACTTTTGCACRTCGCACTTTTCAGTTTTTTATTTGTAAAAAATGTTTTGATTCATGTAAAATTTTGCTTCCACTTCACAATTGTATACCACTTTGTGTTGGTCTTTCACATTAAATTCCAGTGAAATATATTTATGTTTGTGGTTGTAATGTGACAAAATATGGAAAAGTTCAAGGGGTATGAATACTTTTGCAAACCACTGTATGAGGTTCAATTCTAAAGATTTTCCAATCACACACTGAATTGGTAAACATGGAAGGGGGTCAGTTTTTATTGAATGATTCACTTGATGGTATCTGTACAAATTAGAGTGTGAAGCATTGTATCATTGTGAATAAGATTGTTATGATACTACTAACACATTAAAGTCCCTTTTGAAACTCTGGTAGAAAGAAAGCATTATTTGTTAGAGTTCAGTACCTAAAAATGGGGAAAATGTCATCCATTTGATACGAACATGTATCCGATGTACAAACATAACCTGCACATTTTATATGACTTTAATAAGTGTTTTAAACCACATTCTATTTTATTTCAACGAACCACTTTCACTTCAGACATGGAAGGCATTTAAACATTTACATATTCACCATATGGTTTTTTTGAACATTTTATCTCATACAATTTGTTTTTTGCCTCTATACTAAGTAATTTTAATTAACGTTTTTACTGAGTGGTGGAAGTTGTTAGGTCTGGCATCTCCTCACAAATGTGAAAAGAAAATTAGCTCGAACATCTAAGCTCGTTTTCATTTGAGTCTTATCAGTGGGTGTAAATTGAAATGCTTTTATGGGGAGAAAATAAAGGGTATACCTTTTAATGGATCAGAGCAATCAAACGTGTAATACAGTGCTGGATAATGTACCTTTTAATGGCTCGCCCTGTATGTTCTTATTTCATCAAACTGAAGTCTGTTTGAATAGGAGGGGAGGACATTATGACAGTGCCTTTCATTCACCTGGGCACAAGAAAACCAAATTACTGTTTCTTTCAAATAGCATCAGAAATATGTCTGGAGAAGAAAACATACTTTTACAAAGATTTCAACATACCAGTAATAAAGGTACATAGTTTAAAAACCCTTTTTTATATATATTTTCATGATTGGATTAATTTATTGCATATACAGTATCTACATTACAATAAATCTGGATTTTTAAAGCACAGGAAGAGGTGTTTTAATAAAAATGTGCTTTTTTTTATAATCCAGTGTGTTTCTCCGACAACCAGCTAATGTCTGTAATGTCGCCTCTGTCAGGTCTTCAGGAGYGGTGAAGGTATGGGGATCCGTCTGGACAGCGCGTCAGCCTTCCAGGGTGCTGTCATTTCACCTCACTATGACTCACTGCTGGTTAAAGTCATCGCCAGCGGAAAGGACCTGCACACGGCTGCATCCAAAATGAGCCGAGCCCTGGCAGAGTTCAGGGTGCGAGGGGTCAAGGTAGGAAAATCAGCTGCTTGTGCTTAATGTTGTGCCAGCAGCAAGTCTGTGTGGGTGTTTGCAGTGGTTTTTATTTGCATCTAAATTTGTTTTTGGACGCTTGATTCTTGAAGGTTTGGAACRTTTGGACTTCTCGAGTTGATGTTTAAAGGCTTCTTTTAAAGGAACTTGTTTTGAGCGGATTGTTTTGAGACTAGTGGGGTTTTTTTACATCAAAAATATAAAATGATGGCAGACTGTGTAATAGACTGAAACTATTTAAGCAAGTTTAGATCATGTGGTGATTAAACTCCTAAATGCGCATCAATGTGAAAGATTTCAGCACTGAAACCTTAATGGGGTGATGTCTGATTGATGATCTGCTCTGTTGGCAGATTGCAAAGTCAACAGGGTCATTGTCAGGAGTAATTCTAGGATCTGACATTTGGGGGGTGCTTTGCCCCCAATAAGGTCGGCCCTAACCAATTTGGCACCATAGGCAAGACTTTTGTTACTGCTAGGGATGCACCGATTGCARTTTTCTTGCCGTTCACCAATGTTTAAAAAGTCTGACCTACCAATTTCGATTTTGGCCAATTCTGATTCTTAAAACATGTCACAATACACCTTCAGTGTTCCATTTGTTTATTGAAAGACATTGAACTATACCCTTGAAACAATACAAACTTGTTTTAACTGGACTTTAGGTAGTGCTCACAGTAGAGCAAAAGGGGACAGTGGCTGATTTTCAGACTATCACGGAGGTAGATGAGAAGCCAATCTTTTCCACCAATCTTATCCAAGTATCGGCCGATCTCCCAAAATAAAGAAAATCTGTGCCGGCCGATTTATTGGTGCACCCCTAGTTACYGCCCGCTGTGCATTTTTCTAAATCATGCTGCCATATTACAAAAAATGGCCACTGGTCACTGTTAAAGCACTATTGCCACTAAACTGACCAGGCGGTGACTCAAAAGAAGTGTTTGGAACTAAGTAACCAGAGGTATTTTAAAAAGCCACAACCTATTTCAGTGTGCATTTCAGGCCATGGAAATCTTTTTTGTCCACCTCTGCTGACATCCCTTCAGGTCTTTGTTCCCACCTTGGTAGTCTCAACCCTTCTTTGTTTTCATGGAGTACACCTTTGAAATGTAGCTGAGAAAATCTGGACTCATTTTTAAATTCTTGTTGTTCATTGCCATGTTTATTTTACACTTCGGATGGTTTTTGTCAGATCTGATGTCAAAATTCTGCTTTTTGAGACACGACAACTTTAGAACTATTGARTCCCCTTTCACAAATTTTTTAAACTTTAAAGTGACAGGATTTATTCAAGAAAATCAAAAACAATCACGAGTGTCTCCTTTCTACAAGAGTTTTCTTTACGTTTTGTTTTTAAGTTGTTTAATTGGTTGTGTAAAGAAAAAAAATCTGAAGCATAAATGCTTTTTAGTAGCGCTGTGCATTGTAGGGTCTGTTGTTGTTTCGACTCGTGGCACTTGGTGGGCTTTGTAGCTAAGAGATGAAGCAGCGTAGACTAAAAATCCTCAACCATCAATGGCTTCCTTTTTCTTTCTACTGATCAATGAAGCATGGTTAAATTGATCTGAAACTGTCCAGTTTTTGAGTAGGATTGCTGCTGTGGTAAACTTTGCTTATCAGAATGTTAAACCTACAAAACATGTAGATAAAAAGGCAGAACCACAATGCAGCAGAAAATGAAAGGATTAGTTTCTTGTTTGATATGAGACAAGCTCCTGTTCTTCTCTGTGTGGAATAAGGATTGACATTTTAGCTCTGTTTATCATCTTCTGTACAGTCCGTGTCGATGTATGTGCATGTCTATCAGCGTCTCTGTGTTTGCACACACTGTGAATCTCTGTGTGTGTGCTTAGCTGTAAAATGTCACGCAGTCAGCTGCAGAGTCAGAGACGGGGAGGCTGATGGAYGGGGAAGTGACAGGACGTGAGACAGGAGGGTAAAGATGGACAGATAGAGGAGCGTGGAGGGAGTTGCCAAAAGGGCTATCAAGATGTAGAGCGTAAGATAAAATGACAGGGAAGGTAGGTCGGCGCTCGGAGTCCAACACACCCGCGGACATCTTCTAACAATAGTTTGAGTAAATATTAGTGAAGCTACAAAAACAAAGTGTTTTCCTCAGACTTGTTCTCTATCAGTTAAAAATAATCTAATTCTAGAAAAAAAAACCTTTCATGTGAAGTTTAGAATGTTTCTGAATATTGCTGCTTACCTGTCATACTTAGCAGGAGATTCAAACTCCAGAATGCAGATTAGGTTTGGGTGGGATGGTACTGTGGTATACCTCCATACTAAAATATGGTGAGGGTATTTAATAACTATGATGGTACATTAACCGTGTGGAGCCTAGTCATATGGCCTATTTAAATCGTTCAAGCAGGAAAGATTCACCTTCTCTGTGATTCTGATTAAAATTCTTCCAAAAGTAGAGACTTTAAACTTCACACCAGTTTTTAAATTGTGTTGATATGCCAAATAAAACTGTCTTATTTGATGTGGATTGTAGCAGCAGTCAGAAGTAAATACAGTAGTCTCATGGAAAGGTAATTTGATAAACATAAACCCACTGACACCCAACGTTTGACAAGCGCAAAAAAATCTACAGGAAGAAGACGCGAAAGTTAAATGAAGTTCGGCGGCGATGGGGAGACAGCGAGAGCAACGCACAACAAACACCCACCCCCCAAAACAGACACGCACACAAAAAAATCCTGCCTTTTTTTTTTACCTGCTGTGGACCCCCCATTTGCAAAGCCACAAGCAGAGCTGCAAAATATGTAAAGAAACAAACTTTAGAATGTTTTCTTTTTATTATACTAGAAAAAATGTATTAACGTGTTTTAAACGCTTATATATTGACACGAAACCAACTTTTCAACAAACTGTTGACAAAAGAACAATATAACTCAAGCTTCTCTTCAGTTAAATAGCATATAAATATATTTAAAATTATATTTTAAATGATTGGAAAACAGATTTGATTGTATKATGATGTAAAACATTAGATATTAAAGTTTAATTTTCTAATCTTCCCTCCAGCTATTTGAGGCTCCCATGGGCCTCCACTTTGAAAAACAGCCCTTTACACCCGTGTTATCTAAAGATATGTCTAAATAAAATATCAATAACACTCAACCCTAATTCAGATCCAACATGAGGAGTTAAAAACACAAAAACTTTATTAAAAACAAAATAAAACACATTTATGGCAGTCAGAAATCGTTCAACCTCTCTGTGCCCCTAGAGCAAAGTTTATCTCATTAGTACATATAGTTTTCATTTTTCTAACTCCCTGTAATTATRTTTTTACGTGTTTAAAAATCCTTTCTCTTGGCTTTAGTTTGGTAATTTTGGTCCAGAGCACTGGCCTTCTCCACAGCTCTTATTTGTTTACCTTAATTTGATTTATGAGTCAAAACAGTGACATTAATTCCACCGTCCAAGCTCATAGGACAAGTTAGTTTACATCCTAATTAAACCCACACATTCTTCAACGTCGGAGTAGAAATTAATCAGTTTTCCACTTGTTAGTGACTCACAGCTCGTCTTGTTTCTCAGGTTTTATCCAAGTCAAATATATTTTAAAAAGTGTTAAAGTTGGAACTTGTTCCACTAGAACAAAAAAGGTTTCAAATAACTTGAATGAAGTTTCAAATCACTAAAAATCTTTGCCTGAAAGGTTTGGCTGACTTGTGCTTTTTTCTAAATTACTTTAAAATCAGTTTGAAAGCAGAGCTCGAAGCAAGTCAGCGAAATGAGAGAAAATGGCTCATAAACTTAAATTGTCAGGTAATTTGAATAACATTTTTTTAGGTTTCTGAATGCTGTTTACAGCATTTTACACAAAGGCAAAAAGAGAAATTGAAGACCTGACTGGAGGTGTAAAACCTCTAAAAGCTGGGTAATTCACCTTTTTAAACAACCTGCTTCATGCCTTTTCTCCTGCGTGGGTCAACTTCAGTTCATGTCATTTGAATTCACACCATGATTGTACTTAACAGCATCTAGTTTATCCCAGCAAAATAAAAAATATATATAATTATGATTTTGGTGAAGGAACAACCACTGCTTGTGCTGCATTTGGACGCCAGCAGCACATTCCACTTCCACACCTTTAATAGCTGATAGAATATTTACAGCCCAGAAGAAAATAAATCTGAAAGTGTAGGCGGCTTGTATGAATGAAAAGTAAAAAAGCAACTAAAGACGTGAACCAAGAGTGGGCGGCAGCCAATTTTGCAGCACGAGTAGAAACAAAAGATAAACACGGTGGACGTGTAGAGGAGGGAAAAACGTTGCTGTTGGTAATCTTCTCTGGTGTGTTGCCTTGAAACTCGAGCTGACCGTGCCTCCGGCCCTTCTGTGAGGCCCGCGGTCATCTTTTATGACTCACAAAGAGATTGGAGTAAATTGACAAGCTGACGGTTTTATACTCCGACACCCATGAGACCATAAATACAGCACTGTAATCTGCATGTAAAGGAGAGATGGAGCCATTTTTAGGAATGCAAATAAAAACAGGAAGCTTCTTTCTGTAGTTCAGCTGTTCCTTTGAGTTAATGGATTAGGGAGAACTTCATTATTCTTATGGGTATTGCTTTTTAAAAGAAGCATATCCATTAACTTTAGTCCATCTGTCTTTCTGTTGCGATCTCAATAAGTGATGAAACAGACATGTTGTCCATTAGTTGATGTGTTTTAGTTAAAAAAAAAAACTGAATCACAGTAACAACGCCCTCTTTCATAGCATTCCGAGACCATTTTTTTAAATTTAATTTTAGGACTCTTGCAATCTTTCTTTAAGTTTAGTAAAGATCATTTTAAGTTTTTAATTTAAACTTCTGTTTTTTTAAATTACTTGTAATTCTTGTCTGCAGTTTGGCCATGGATTTAAATAAAAGCTCATGGTCTGCACTCTTCTGCATCAAACACTTGGGCACAGAAATAATTCCAGTTTGTTTTTGTGTTTGACTGTTGGGTTT